ATGGGCTTGATAGAGTGCCATTCTGATGATAGTGCTTGTTGGGGTTTGCTGAGTTAATCACACACAGGCTCAGTGCATGGAATGGCTGCTGTTTCATGATGCTTACACAATGTTTATCTGGCAGCCACACCTAGCTGGGCTCTGTGCTCAGGGATTACTCCTGGTAGTTCTCAGGGAACTGCATGCAGTGCTGGGGATTGAATCTGGCTCAGCCATGTGCAAAACAAGTGCCATACCCACGATGTTATCTTTCTGATCTCTTACATGATTTAAGTTGTGCTGTTCGTGAGAGGACTCACCCTTGATTTGGGGTGTCTCCACATGCCTTGTCAAGCTGCAACACTAAATTAGAGCAAAGCAGATCATAGACAGCAGGACTACCAGGATTGCACTTGGCATTGGGGAGTGACAGTGGGGACTGAACTCAAAGCTTCGTGCTTCCAAGGCAGACCCTTGAATCACTAAGGCATCTCCTCACCCTCTGTGTTGGTTTTTAGAATCCAAATCCCTGATCCGCACACGCTAATTCACTGAAGCAGTATGTCTCATAATCAGAAATCAATTATTAATTATTTCCCTAGATAATTTTAAGGGTCAATTATCAGACTGATTAAAAACTAGTGAACATAGCAAAAAGACATTAATGTCAGTGCAAATCTTATTTTATATGCAACTTGCTCAAGGGTTGAGGATTTTAAGTTAAAAAAAATTTCATTCCAACACCAGTCTCACCACCATTATACCTTCCTTCCACCATTGTCTCCAATTTTCCCAACCACTCCTTAAGTCTGCCCCCATAGCAGACCTTCATTTATTTTATATTGCTTATTATAATTTGCTAACAGAATGTTCATCAAATGTTTCCTTGAAAGTTAGTGAGGAATGTTGTATCTCACATGGAGCCATTAAGTCCTTGTGTAAAATATTACTAACATGTTGTTATAAAGCCTTCTATGTTTTTATTTTGAAAATTGAGATTAGTTACCTTCTACATTACATCTCTTCCAATCTGGTGTGCTACTCCTGGCTTATCAGTGCTGTAGAGTTTGAGATGGTGCAGCATTCAAGGCTACTTTCTCTGGGAAGTTCAAATTTTTTCATTTGGTGATAGAGCTGCAGTTAAATTTTTAACTAGGTGGCAGCTTTGGGGCATCTGCATGACTGTCAGGGTTTCTAGAAGAACTGGGAGGTGGCGTGAGGTAGCCCATCCCTGATTCCATAAAATTCTGGAGATTTAGTCACAAAACCTGCACACCTGAGTTTTTCAGCAATTTAATTTCTGGATGAAGCTCATCCTGAGCAGTGGAATTTGGCAAGGAACAAGGTGGTGATTGTGGAGTGTGGAGGCTTTTGGCTGCTGAGTTCTATTTGGATGGGCACTGGGCTGACCTGCTCTCCTCCAGGTTGAAGGGCAAGAGTTTTGATTAAAACTTTTTTTAAATTCCGAACCTGGACTCACAAATGAATATCAGAAGAGAGCAACATGCTACAGAGATGCCTCCTCAGCCTGAACCAGGCTGACTGCCTCCAGGGTCCTCGGAGGGGAGCAGGTGAGTCCTTCTGCCTGCCCCAGTAGAGCCCTGCAGCTGAAAACCTCCAGATCCCGATTATCATCATGCTCACAGCCAATCTTTATCATCATGCTCACAGCCAATCTTCACAGGCTTGGGACAAGCCCTTCAGTCATGAAGATGAATCTGCTGAAAAACCCAGGTATACAGGTTTTGTGACTAAAATCCCCAGACTGGGGCTGGAGCGATAGCACAGCGGGTAGGGCATTTGCCTTTCATGCCACTGACCCAGGTTCCATTTCCAGCATCCCATACGGTCCCCCGAGCACCACCAGGAGTAACTCCTGAGTGTAAAGCTAGGAGTAACCCCTGTGCATCGCCAGGTATGGCCCAAAAAGCAAAAAATATAATAAAATAAAATCTCGATTTCATGGAGTCGGGAATAAGCGCTGTCCCATCTCCCGGTTAAAAATTTAACTCCAGCTCTATCACCCTATTTAAAATTTTAGAATTCCTTGAGCATGAGAGGGACTAATGGTTCCAAGGTGAGATGCAACATTTTTTACCCACTTTCCTCTAAGGAAACATCTTTGGATCATTTTTAGCAATTTTTGTAACAAGCAATGCAAAATAAATTATTTAGCATCTGCCACTGGGGCAGGCTTGGATAGTAGTGGTAAATTTCAAAATAATCGTGGTGGGATTGGTGTTAAAATATTGAATGTAACAAATTATTGTAACAACTTTATAAAAATAAAATTAAAAATCTAAGAACCTGTTATGAGCCTTGAATATAGTAGATACTCAATACATGCTTATGGGAAAGAATTCGGGCTTGACATTTTATGGAGTCAGCATTATTTGGGGGAATACAAACCTACTTTAGTGATAGTATATAATCATTGTGCAGGAGGTGCCTGTAACACACACTGAAAGATAATATAGGGTTGGTGAGCTGACAGCAGTGCAGAATGCAGTATTTAGTTCAGTTGCTCTGCATTATGCTAACAATTCTAAGCTCCTGAAATATGAAGAACATTCACATAAATAAGATTGCTTAAGTTCATAAATTGTCAGTCTTATTACTTTTTCCATCTGTTTGAATTGATGCCATAAAAGACAAAAAATACAATAGTAGCTGATATTTATGTCAAAGTAGCTAAATACAAAGAGTAACTAATTTTTATGTGATTTAAAAGTGGTTCTCAAGGTGTAGTCCAAGAACTCCTCGGGGTTCCTAAAATATACGGTATGGTCTTTTTCCTAGTAATAAACTGCTATTTGGCTTTATTAGCCTAAGTGTATAGTGTAAACTGGAATGTACAATGGCATTTTCCAGATGCTACATGATGTATAATTTTAAACAATAACCTAAGCAATGATGACAAGAAATGAGAATCAACTATCTTAAGTGACACACTAGAGAAATTCACAGGAATGTAAAACTATAATACTCTTATTTTCCTGGGAAAATATGTTCATAAAAATATTATTAGCTATATAAAGGATCTATTTGAAATGACTAAATATTAAAATTTTCCATTTTAACTTTTAATATAAATATTGTGAGCATTATACAAATGAACAAAAGTCATTTGGAGTCCTCAGTATCTTTAAGAGTGTGAGGACTCTGAGACCAAAATGTTGGAAAACCAGTGATTTATAGATATATGTACATATATACACAAATATTAACTAAAATCATGATTGAATTTCACCAATTACCTGAGGGGGGTGCATACCAAAAATACTCAGGACTTTTTCCTGGCTCTGTGTTCAGCGATCACTCCTCTGTGTTTGGGGGACTATAAGGGGTGCCAGGGATGGAACCCAGGCCAGCCATGTGCAAGACTAGTACCCCATGCACTGTACTATCCCACCTCTATTATTGTCCAATGTTTGCCGAGTGATAGTTTACTATTCTTGTATTCTTGTTTTGAGAAACAGTTGACAGCTACTTAAGTTTCCATGAATTCCCAAGGTATTCCATAGGAATTTGTGACACAGTTTGAGATTCCCATCATCAGAGTCCACAGAAGTGCTGCTTGGAAGAACACTGTGCCAAGTGCTAACTCATGAATCCAGAAGCTTTATCAAATTTCTCATTTAACAGAGAACAGACTGTGTTAAGAGACACAGAAAAGACACAGTTTGAACGCTGAGAGGCAATTTAACCAACATCCCAACTGTGCTTTCTGGTTCAGAGGACAGGAAATAAAAAACATTGCCTCAGCATCCAGACCTAGCCATCCTTGGCATCAGGGCTGTCACCTAGCTACAGAGTTGAAGTTACACCCTGGAGTCTAACCTTCTCACCAGCCCTGGAACTAAAGCAGCAGCATCCCACCCGCTGATGGTTAACAAACACTGGGCACAGTTACATTGCAACAGGCACAACGACTTGTATTTTAGTTGGCGGACAGGGAAGTTGTTTAGGGCAGAAACTCAGGGAGAAAAAGTTGTTTTAAGTTGTATGTATCCGTTGTAACTGATAGGGAGCTTCTTGGACATAACCTTGTTAAACCATCTCTGAGTAATAAAACATCAAGTCTTGTTTCTGCGGTTGGCAGCATAGGGGAGAATGACGTACAGGGGAAGGGGCTGTTCTGGTCACGTTGGATGTTGCTGGTTGGCTTGATGGGTCTCTGGCTGCGTGCAGGAACACAGTGTGGGTCCTTCATTAGCACGAGGCTTCCTTACTAACATTCTACTAGAATGATTGGATAATTCTCTTAGAAGCTCATACTTTGTAACTGGGTTGCTTTATCTCATTTTCACTTGAATATTACAGGGAATGAAGTATTTGAATTGTAAGTATGCCAATAGTTCCAATAGTTACATGAATCCAGAAGCTTTATCGAAGCTTTTTTTTTTAAGAAATAAAAAAAAGAATTTTTTTTTTGTCTTTTAAGAAATTTTCATTGCCAAGAAAAGCTGGATTAAATTTTTTCCTTCCCAAAAAAAAAATTTAAAAAGTTGCTTTGCTTACTTCACACTTAACCCAGTGATGGTTGTGTCTCTTCTTTTTTCCTTGGTTGTAAGCTTTTTTCATAGTTCTGCCAAGGTAGTTGTTTAAAGAAGAAATACTCGGGAAGAGCTGCTTTAGAGCCACAGAAGGTGTGAACCGTGGCTTACACCAAGCGGAGGAAGCGGTGAGGTTTCCCAAGACGGTTTTGAGGTCAGGAAATGGGGAAGTTTTTGATCAGAAGCCTGGCCCGCCCCGCGCAACTCGGGACAAACAACTGACACCTCGTTGCGAGTCCGATTCCTCGCACTCCCCTCGGCCCGGCGCACCCGCGCACACGTGCCTCCCACGCCCGAGGAACGCGCCCAGCAGGAGCTCCCGGCAGCCGCGCTCTCCCGCCGGAACTCGCGGGAGAGGGCGGGGGGCGGAGCCCAGACCCACGGCCCCGCCCCGCCCGCGGTCCTCCGAGGCCCGCCCGACGCGGTCCGCCACGATCCCGGCCGGCGCCGCGGCCAGGAGGGTCACGTGAGGTGGGCGGGGCGTTGGCGCTCGTCTCTGTCGTCTCCGCGTCTCGATGGTCGGCGGAGGTGGGCGGCTGGGACGGCGCGAGCGGCTGGCGCGGGCGCGGGCGCCTGGACGGGTGAGTCGGGGGCTGTGCGGGCGCGGAGGGCGACGCGGGCGGGGGCAGCGCCGTGTCCGCTCTCCGTCGTCTCGGCCGCCGCGTCTCCCTGCCCGAGAGAACTTTGTGCCGCGGCGTCCCGGGCGGGGCTCGGCGAGCGGGCGCGGCGGCCCGGGACGCTCCCTGAGGGGACCCTGAGGGGACCCGGCGCTCGCTCGCTCGCTCCCCGCCTCTCCCGACCGCGCTCCCGCGCCCTCGCTCCTCGTCCCCGGACGGCGCCTCGGGAGCGAGCCGGGAACGCCCGAAGAGTTGGGCACGAACTTTCCTTCCGCGGGGTCCCCGGGGTCTGCTGCTTTCCTGGTCTCCTCGGCCTCTTCTCTCAGAAGGCGTCACAGGTGGCGGCCCCCGCGATCGCCGTTTTGTTGCCCCCTCGGGCCGGGGGCGACGGGGTTGACTCCCGCGGGGGACCGGGGAGGACGCGGCTTCCCCGTCCGTAAGTGGGTCGTGGGCGCCGTGGGTGGAGGGAGGCGGCTGCGTGGGAGCGCGGGTCTCTGGCCCAGCACCCCGGGGAGTTCCAGGGTCAGCGTTTGGAATTGTGGGTGGGTGTTTCTCAGGGTGCCCGACCTGCTCTTTCGCAGTTGGGGGTAGTGCTAACAAATTTGGGGGGTATGTTGAGGGGGCAGTGGTTCCCCCCCACACACACCCCGACAGTGCTCAGGGATCACTCCTGACGGGACGTGGGGAAGAGAAGATGGGGCCGTGTTGGGCAGGCACTAACTCACCGGCTCCAGATTTGTAGAACGGGACCAGGCGAGGGTACAAAGCTGCTCTAACCCTGCTTGCTGGGGGCTCGAACGCTGGACCCAGTGATGCTGAGGCCCGGATGCAGGACCAGTGCGTCCTCCCTAAACGCTCTCCTGGTTCCGCCCGCAAACTTTTGTTTTTGTTTTTTGCTTTTATGGGTCACACCCGGCTATGCTCAAGAATTACTCCTGGCTCTCGCTCAGCAATAACTCTTGACGGTGCTGGGGTACCATGTGGGATGCCAGGGATCAAACCAGGATTGGCCGCGTGCAAGGCAAACGCCCGACCCACAGTGCTATTGCTCCGACTTTCCAAATCTTTTTATTTATTTTTTAATTTTTTATTCGTGAAACACCAAGAGGTACGGTTGTAGACTTACACATTTTTGTGCTTGGGTTTCAGTTATACAATGATTGAGTACCCATCCCTCCACCAGTGCCCATTTTCCACCACCACGGATCCCAGTATCCCTCCACACCCCCCCCCATTCCCCTTCCATCCCACCCTGCCTCTGTGGCAGGGCATTTCCTTTTGTTCCCTCTCTCTCTGGGTGTTGTGGTTTGCAGAAGAGGCATTGAGTGGCAATCATGTTTGGTCTATAGTCTATTTTCAGCATGCTTCTCCCATCCTGGGAGGATCCTCCCAACACCCTTTATTTGGTGCTCCCTTCCCTAGCTGAGCTACCTTTTCCCCTAGCGTATGGCTGGCCTCCAAGCCATGGAGTAAACCTCCTGGTACCTATCTCAGCTATTCTTGGGTGTCAGTCTCCTATTTTGTTACTTTATGTTTCACAGATGAATGCAGTTTTTCTATGTCTGTCACTCTCTGACTCATTTCACTTAGCATGATACTTTCCATGTTGTACCACTTGTATGTAAATTTCATGACTTCATCTTTTCTAACAGCTATGTAGTACTCCATTGTGTAGATGTACCAAAGTTTCTTTAACCAGTCATCTCTTGTCGGGCACTCCAAGTTTTTTCCCAGGTTCTAGCTATTGTAAACAGTGCTGCAATGAACAAACAAGTGCAGATGTCACTTTGACTATACTTTTTTTGCCTCTCTGGGATATATTCCCAGGAGTGGTATTGTCCAAAACTTTTTAGAACGCATTTCCACCTGTCTGTGGTTATCCTTTTTTTTTTTTTTCTTAAATTGCTCCTTTAAATCGATGTAACATTACATTGTAACATTGTATTAAGTTTCAGGTGTTGCATTATCTCACCTGGTACTTCTCTGATTGTGTACACCTGATAGGTCTCTGATTGGCTCACCCATTCAAGGGTATCAGTACATACCTGAATAGGTTGAGCATGTCATTGACCTATAAGTATTCTTACTAAGGATTATGAAACAGAAAAGCAAGATTTAGGAGTATATTCTTTGTCTTGGGAGAATGACCAGGAGGAATTTACAAGAGCTAATCAAAATTAAGCAGGAAAGCAGAAACATGTTGTGGGATTTTTGTTATCTATAGAAAATATTTGCTGTATTTGGTAGATCTTTTTACATTCCTAAAGGGTGCTTTTAGGCATCTATATGTATGTAAGAATTAAATAATAGTGTTTGAGCTAGAGCACGTAATGAAGGTGGTCCAAGTTAGATCCCCGGCACTGTTCCCTCATACCCACAGCACCACAAGCTATAGCAGCATCAGTTGTGCAGCCAAGCAGACACTGTGGGGAGACCCTTGCCCTCTCCCCAAACAGCAGCATATAATTTCTCCCACATATAATCTTGCATAAATAATTATAAATGAAAGTTTTAATCAATTCCTTCTGATCTTATGTCATTCAAAACAAGTAAAATCTTCACAGCAAAGAAAAGAAGGGAAAAAGTAAATCAACATATTCAGAAGCACAGGGTTAAAGTAATTGATAATTCTTCATTGTATCACTGAAAAGCAGGCACGAAAGTTTCTAAGTCTGTAACTGTACTTAACGGTGATTCACTAATAAATAAATAAAATAATTGATAACTCTTAAATGTAGTTTGGCCCCTTTACAGTGTTTTACTAGTTGAGCGGTTCTTATAGTGGCTGCAACACTTACTGAATGTTGATTTTTTCCCCATGTATAGTTAATATATCTCTTTTTACAAGAGAAGCAATCTAGGCATGGTAAAGATGTCTCAACTGAGAACGAGCAAGAACATGCCTGGTACACATTAGTCCCTAGTTCTAACCCACATTGTGTGTGTCAAAGTATCCCCTCTTTGCACCTCATTAAAATGAGGTTGATAGTGTGCTGAAGGAAACATATTTGACGGATGGATTATTCCCATTAGGTGCTATACTCATTATTGAGGGGCTCTGCAATGCTAGGTATATAACCAAAAGCCTTACACACACTATCACGTGAATCATACCCCAAACCCCCCCAAAAAGAGTTGATTTTTTTTTTTAGAACGATACTCTCCCTACTTTGGCAAATTGTCATGCTTTAAAGAACTGAATATTGATATCTGAGTTTATCTAAGAAGAACACAGGGCTGTAGCGCTGTAGCACTGTCCTCCCGTTGTTCGTCAGTTTGATCGAGCGGGCCCAGTAACATCTCCATTGTGAGACTTGTTGTTATTGTGTTTGGCATATCGAATACGTCAGGGGTAGCTTGCCAGGCCTTGTGTGGGCGAGATACTCTCGGTAGCTCGCCAGGCTCTCCAAGAGGGATGGAGAAATCGAACCTGGGCCAACCAGGTCGGCTGCATGCAAGGCAAACGCCCTACCCGCTGTGCTATCACTCTAGCCCCCCAAAAAAGTTGATTTTTTTTTTGAATGATACTCTCCCTGCTTGGGCAAATTGGCATTCTTTAAAGAACTGAATATTGATATCTGAGTTTATCTAAGAAGAACATAGGGCTAGTGTTAACACATAAAAATTTTTAGTTTTTGATCCACACCTAGCAGTGCGCAGCCTCGTCCTAGCTCTGTGCTCTGGGTTGCTCCCAGTGGTACTCGGTGGATCGTGCAGTGCTGGGCATTGAATTCAGTCCTCCCATCTGTACAGCATGCCCTTGGCCCTTTGAATTTTTTCTCCAACCCATGAGTGTTTTATATTTCCTTTTATAAATGTAACGTGTTAATTTTTCAAATGGAAACATAGAAAATCACTAAACTTAAATCCTATGACCTTAGAATTCCCATAAGAGAGAAATTACCTTTTCCTACTATTCCAGAAAACTGTCTGGGAATCTCTTTGGTGTGACTTGGGTCTTTGTCTATCTTCAGGGCAGTGTTTGGTTGTTCCCACCAAGGAGTGCGCTTAGAGGGTTAGTGTTTCAAACTATATGAATTAAAGGCAGGCAATTTGAGATGTCATTTCCTAGAGAGGGCTGAGTAATTGCTGAATAAGAAAAAAGTCCTCATTAAAATCGTTATATATATTTTTAATTATAACTTTCCTTTGCCAGTATAAATTGTATTTTATCATTTGTGTTGATTTTCTTTTGCCTGTTTTATTAAATTTTATTGTTTTGCTTGTTTTATTGTTATTGGTGTGAATGGACATGATGAATAAGCTGCAGTTTGTAAATAGCAAATTAAAATATCTTAAGTATTTAAATAAATGTCAAAACGATTAAATGTTTGAGTCTTAATTATTTCATATTTAAAATCCTCTGTAGAAATCACTTTGTGTTGAACATTATATTAAAAATATTGTCATTACATCATTATTATATTAAATCATATAGTATTAAATATTAATTCTGATTTTATATTTTAACGAATTATTCTGATGGTTTATCATATTTTAAGAGAATATATAACTGATATGACTGAAGCACCATTGTTTTTGTTGGCATTTCTCAGCCAGGAGACATGACCATCTGTGGTTCCCCAACGTATTCCAAGAGGGCCACCAGTGAAAATACTGAATCACAGCAGAAGATCAGAGGCCAGTCAGGGAGAGAGGCCACAGTAAGGAAAGATGATGGGGGAAAGAACCAATCAGAAAAGATTGAAAAACTCTGGTTTACTCTGCTGTCTTCTCATTATTTTTTTAAATTAAAAAAAAATAATTGGTGTCTTTCAGTTGCTAACTTTGGTGGCACAGGTTTTAGCTTAGGCAGATCTGTATTCTAAAGCCCATCTCTGTCATTTCTTGATATTGAGCAGTTTATTTAATCTCTGAACCTGAGTTTATTCCATTTGCAAAATAGAAACAAGTCTCACGGGTTGTATGAAGACTAAATTAACAAAAGTATGACAAGTATCTGG